ATATAGACAGCATCACTTTTTAAGCTAAAATTAATGAAAATGCATGAAAGCAGAAAATGGAATTAATTAGGAAGACAATGCTTGTGATCTGAGCAAAGAAGCAAAATGGGCTCAAGAATGATAAAAATAGGTGGTGTATATAGAAATAGAGAAGAAATGAATCCATCCTAAGTAGGAAGTTAATGGCAAATAAGATAACGAAGGATTTCTGGTACAACACTGATTAATGGAATGATCTTTCCAGGGTGATGTGTGCGCAGTTACAAAAAGTGGACATTAAGAAGAAGCAAGAGAAAGGTGATTCATTTGAATTATATATTTGGAGATGGTTCTCAAGCATGACTCATAAGAAGAACCAATAAGCTTGAACCAAATAAAGGCTAACTACTCCACTGAACCAATGATAATATGTACTAACTTTGCATTTTTGATGCAAGCAGTCAATGAAGTGGGGAAAAATGACAAGATTAAAAGAAGAAGGAAAAGAACAAATAAGATGGATGGACAGCATCAAAGAAATTATAGGGCTGCTTATGGAAGTGCTATAAATTATTATAGAGGCACACTGAGATGGTGAGCATTTGTCCACTCATTAGGATTTAAGGCGAACTCAGTGTATTTAACTAATCTGTCATCCAATGATCCAAAGTTTATTTCTTCCAGAAAGAGCTCATAGTGTCCTTTTGCATTCTTTATTGTCTGTTTACTCCCAGGCCCAGAGTTTATTTATAAGTGTTCCAAGGCTGCCAGTTTATTTATGGGTCAAATACAAAGTTATGGTTGTTACTTTTAAAGTACAATTTGTAAGTAAAGTATATAGTAAAGTATATAGTTCTTAACTGAGAAAGGAGCTTTTATGTGATTTTCCTATGATGAACCATTCACTGAGCTTTTTGAGGAAGACTGGCCTGTATTGCCATTGGGTCATTAATAACTTGGAGATAAACCTTTTCTGTCGCCATTCCAGGTCTTTGGAAGGCAAGTCCCTGCTTAGTTGTACAGATTTGTTTCTTTGTTGGCTTAAATCATATTGAAATATACCTTTGTGAATTGGCTTTTAAATTTTGGTTATTTTTAGTTTGATCTGCATGATGTTTGATACCATGCTCCTATTTCATTATAAACCACTAGGAGACCTCAATAATTAGTGATATAACAAACAGGGATGTGCAATGCTTCAGATTCAATTGCAAAGGGCTGTTTGAAATAGACAGAAAACAATATCTCTCTGTGATCCATTATAAAGCAGCCAAACCTGTTCTCAGAGTCTGCTGCTACATGGTTCTGGAAAAAAATGGATTGAGGCTTGAACAACTTGCATAGAGGATTTGTGCTAGTACTTCCATATGTTCCAAAGCCCCTCTTCAAAGTCAAATCCAAAGCATTGCACGGCCTAATTAAAAGTTTATTTCTGTAAAAATAATATCTATCTGAACATCAATGTTAAAGAGTATTAAAAAGGGGTGGGAGTGAAGCAATTCTGAACCCCTGATTTTACTGCCATGTTCACACTCTTGCTTAATTCTACTCATCTTCCATTTACCTTGATGCTTTTCAGTTATGGCTATCTTATGCTTGAAAAACTTCTGTAATCTTTATCCAAAATCCATAATTTATGCAGTTTCCCTGCCAAAATGTCTATCAATAAACCAAATAATTAAAATGTACAATTGCTTTTGCAAACTTGAAAATATCAAACAAATACATCAATGTTATGCAACAGGTCAACTATGTTCCATAATACAGATAGTGCTCAGTACACAACCATATTTGGGACTGGAACATCCATTACTAAGCAAGGTGGTTGTTAAATGAGTCACACTCAATGTTATGATCTTTTTGTCACAGTTGTTAACTGAAGTTGTTAACTGAATCAGGTGAGTCCAGCTGGCTGGGAAGGTTGCAAATGGTGATCACATGACCTTGGGATGCAACTATTATCAATACATGCTGGTTGCCAAGCAACCAAATTTTGATCTTGTGACTGTGGGAATGCTGCAATAGTTGTAAATGAGAGAACCATTTGCAAGTCGTTTTTTTTAGAGTTCTTATAACTTTGAACAGTTGCTAAACAAATGGTTGTATATCCAGGTCTATCTGTAACTATTTCTAGACTTATTTATATTATATATTCATAGGCTACAGATAGTGACTTGACTTTTGAGCTCAAAATTTCCATTGCTAAGTGAAACAGTTGTTAAGTGAGTTTCGACCCATTTTACTGCTTTTCTTGCCATCTAGGGAATCACTGCACCCGTTAAATTAGTAACATGGTTATTAAGTGAATCTGGTTTTCCTATTTCCTTTGCTTGTCAGAAGGTCTCAAAAGGTGATCACATTACCACAAAACATTAGCCCTGGACATTGCAACCATCATAAATACGCGTCAGTTGCCAAGCATTTAAATTTTTATCACATGACCAAGAAATTGCTGCAATGGTTGTATGTGTGAAAAACGGTCCTAAATCATTCTTTTCAGTGCTGTTGTAACTTCGAACGATCACTAAATGAAACTGTTGTAAGTTGAGGACTACCTGAATACAGATATTCAGGGGTATCCTGGGTATCAAAAAGCAAGCGTCTTTTCTTCCTTTACTGTGGGTAGAAGTGAGTGGCTTCTCAGGAACGAATGTTGTCAGGCTGGCATTGAGGCTGCTACGTTGATTTGTTGGCTTAACTTATGTATACAGAGCTTCAAAATTATTCTTGAAAAGTGTCATTGTTTTTGTGGCTTATCCTTTGAGGAATGCACCTGGGAGAAGATTTAGTTTTCTTCTCTCTGCATAAATATATGGATGCAGCTGGAATATGTGAAGTGGACAGATTACCCATATATCTACTCTTTCTCTTCTGTTGACTCTTTGGGTGGTCTGTTGGGAACACAGCAATAAGTCTAAGCATTTTTCACTTAGTTGTCCAGCAGCTAGGTTGATTCTAGATGCTCAGAGGAAAACACCATAATTATGCCAGTGTTTAGTTTGGCACAAAGAATGTATAGTTTATTGAGCTCATGATGCTTAGCTGTTAGCCTCTGTGTTTCTATTGTACATTTATTATTATATTATTATCAGTGATTGTGAGCTTTTTTGAGTTACTTTCCTACAAAGTTGAATAATGTTGAATATATTACCTCTTTTTACCTAAGGGCTGATATAATTTCTGAAATGGAAGGGTTTTTTTCTTTCAAAAGATGAAGTTTTGCTTCATTCACTACCAAATCAGTGAATTGCCACACTATTTTCCCTTAATTCAGTTATCTGTAAAAGTTTGTGCTAGCTGCGATAATGGAATTGTAGTCTACAACTACAAGTAGTAAATTGGAAAAGCCTTTGCTGTTTACATGATAAGCTCTACTAGTTTACTTTCATTTGGGTTTGTTCTATCGTGTGTTTCTTTCACACATTATTTGGCTAAAATTCTTCCTTGGTCAGCAACTATTCTGGAATAACAAATTTAGACTATTTAAGCTTTGGGTTCCCTTAAGTTTAGCCTCAAGTAAAGCAACAATTCTTCAACTGATGACAATCACAACCTATCTTTTCCCATTGTTTCAATTAATTTGTTTTTATTAAAGTTTTACAAGTGAAGATAACAATTATTATACATTAATATAAAGTGAGAAAGATAAAAATTATTATATATAAATATAAAGTGAGGAAGAGCAGCATAGTGGCCTAATGGTGAAAACGCTCATCTCCCTTTCTGAAAGTTGAGTGTTTAATCCTACATAGTAGCAGATGTTTCTCTTTTAGGGCACAAAGAAAAAAAATCTGCTGCTAACTTCATATAGGCGACTGAAAGGGCATCCAGGCAATAAACGCTCAGCTCCACCCAGTTTATAAATAAATCTTCCATCTCCAGAAGTTGTAAATGCTGTAACACTGGAAGTTTTTAAGAAAAGATTGGACAACCATTTGTCTGAAATGGTATAGTTTCCTGCCTGAGCAGGGGATTGGACTAGATAGAAGACCTGTAAAGTCCCTTCCAACTCTCCTCTCCTCCTCCCTCTCCCCCCACTCTCTTGTGAGTATCAGGAACAAAGAAAAAGAATGAATAAAAGAAAGCTAAAAGCACAAGAAATAAAGAAAAATGGAAAAGATAAACAAGATACAAAGAAGTAGCTTCTCGTTTTTACAACAGTTAGAACTACAACTCTTTTTTCTATAATCAATGCTGTCTAATCATCAAAACCATAAATCATTTGTTTTGGATTGGTGCTGGAATTTATTTGAAAGTTGAGTTTGGAAAGTTAATGAGGAAATATAAATACAGTATAGTCTATCAAATATCCATCAACACTTAAAGACATGAAAAATAAACAGCCGAACTTCTTCCATTTATGTGTGTCCAGAATTCAATTTAAAATATTTGTTAAACTCTGCCATTTGGAACACAATGAAATACTGTCAGTAAACTTGTTGTATCCTTTCTAAGTAGAAAAATAATGTTTTCATACTTCTGCTTTATTATTGAATAATATCCATTCCCTCAAAACCCTTTTTAGGAAGACTTGCAGTATATTCTTGAGGAAACATATTTTGTAGTTTTGATTATTTTAAAATTATCTTTTACCCTATAATTATAGTAGGAATTGCAAAATATGTTGTCACACAATGAAGAGAACTATTAAGATATACATTATAGAGTATTTCAGTGTAGATAATGTGTTTCTTACCCTCAGAAACTTTAAGATGTGTGGACTTCAAAAATTCTGGAATTTCCAGGCATATATCTCGAAAATTGCTGGGGTTGAGAGCACTCTTCTAGATTAAGTTGATGATGGTATATTTAAAAAACAGGAAGTTTTTATTTTAGGGATTCAGTAATGGAATTTACAGAACTCTATCATTGATTAATTAATTCCCCCCACATACACACTTTATTAACAATGCTGTCATTTCCAGTTTAGAAATGCTTATATCATTCATGAAAGGCTCTAATTCTCTGATGGAAAACTGATGGGTCTACTAAATTCCATGAAATGTGCTTTTGTCTTTCAGAATATGACAAACTGGGATTTCTTCTGAAGTTGGATTCCAAACTGTGAGTAGAATGATGAAAGGACTTTATTTTGATCTGGCATTATCAGTTTCTTTTGGAGACAAAATACATTTTGGTCCTGACTTTCAAACCATATTATTACAATATTATGCCAATCAGGAGTGTTATTCAATAGCCACAGGTAAAATTTATTATAAAAATAGTGGCTTCTTAATATGATTTTAATGTTTGTCAGCAAAAAAGATTCAGAACCATCAAGAACATCATGTGAGAATTTTCATCATAGTCCATTTCAGACTACTGAAATTAAGAAATAAAGTCAATTTAATTAAATAGAACCTTACTGGGTGAGCTTATATTAATTTCAAACCCGTGCATACTTAGGGATTTTCTTAACATCAGTGTACAGGGAAAATAAGGTAATCTATCCACATATTGCATTACCCTGATTTGTGAACTATAGTGATCATGTTCATGCATCACCCTAAGACAGAACTACATTGTAACTTACTGGCGATGAATTAATATAATCTATTATGCATACATTATAACATTTATACATTTATAAATAAATTATTTTGTAGACAAAGTATTCCTGATGTCATATTGCTAAATCCTTTACTACATGATATTTGCCTGACCCTCACAGTTACAGGTTTTCACTGTTAGATAAAATCAGGGTTCTGTGCATTGATTTACAGGTAGCCCTAGCTTACAGCAGTTTTGTTCAGTGACCTTTTGAAATTACTGCGGTGCTGAATAAAGAGTCTTATAACCAGGGGTAGGATTCAAATTTTTTAACAACCGGTTCTGTGGGTGTGGCTTAGTTAGTGGGCGTGGCTTGGTGGTCACGTGACTGGGTGGGCATGGCTTGGTGGTCATGTTATTGGCTTGGCGTGGCAAACTCAATATCACTCACATCGAGACATGCATCTCCTCACCTGGCCTTTCATGACTGTGGGGATGCTGCAACAGTCATAAGTGTTAAAAACGGTCATAAGTCACTTTTTTCAGTGCCATTGTAACTTTGAATGGTCACTCCACACAAGCAAAGTGCCAGCAAAGGAGGGGGAAAAAAACTCAAGAGAAGTTCCTAAGACAGGAAGTCTAGTTCTGCCAAGAATGTAATAAGGGTTAACAGAGAGGCAGTTTCTGTAAGCAACACCAGAATGTTTCCTTCCTGCTTTCCTTACAGGATTAGGCCCATAATTTCTTCTAACAACTGAGCTGCTTAGAATGTTAACAACTGATTCTAGCGAATAGGTACAAATTGGTAGAATCCCACCCCTGCTTATAACCCATGCCCGAAGTTACAGCTGTCGCAGTAGCTTTGGAAGTTTTGTAAGTGTGGGCTGACTGCCAATGAATTTTGATAATGTGACAGCAGGGATACTGCAATGGTGGTAACTTTTAGTAGCCATTTTGAGTGATCGTAATAAAATAGAAAATGCAGGATAGAATTATTTGAAGTAATTTGAAAATAATTTCAGAGATGATGAAACAAAGGTGATTGTTCTTGTGTAGTTGAAGCCTCACTCTTTTTTTTAAATGTGCATCTCATATGAACAGAGCAGTAAGACGTTTATCAAATGGTTGTGGTTTTCATCTTGAATTTTTAAAACTCCTCTAAGCACCCTAAATACACCATGGGAAAAAGCAAAAGTAATAAGGACATACTAAGTAGCTGAAAAAAAATGAAAAGATAGATACAAGAGAAAAGGCAGAATTAAACCTGCTCAAGCAATTTCTGAATGTTATTATATTTCCTAAGTTGTAAGTCTATGTCCTACATTCAAGGCAGTGTGCAATAGTGGCTACATTGCAACTATCGGCATGATATTGGGCATAATATTATGCTGTCTTTGTTACCACATTTCAGGCACTATTAATAGATAGCATACGGATAAAGTAATTATGAAATGAAGACTAGATTGGAATAAATAATGGAGAATGATGAACTTCAGAAAAATTAACTGTATTACTCCCCAGCAGCAACAAAGAAACTGTGGTATTGTGAGCTTTGCTGGTTTGAGGCTGCCTTTCTCATCTCAGGTTATTCAGAACCTCCGGGGCCTGGGGGCTGGATGCATCACGCACTGGCCACCCCCACCCCCGGTTTAGTGAAGGGGAAAAGTCGTGATAAGTCATGTGACAACAACACAATGCCATGAGTTTGACACCCCTGCTCTAGGGTAAAAAGGTTAACAAAAGCTGTATGCTTGTGATTTAAGATGCCACTGTTGTACATTTCCATTCTTGATTTAGTCATTCATTCTATTATATTAATGTTCTTCAATAATCACTATTACATTAGTGTCCTTCAGTGGTTTTCATATCATTTTTAATGAACATATCCTCTTTTCAGGTCTCATTATTCAAGTCTAGTGAAATATCAAGGCTAGGAGCCAGACTTTGATGTATAGAGTGTTCAACTTGAGCTTCGCTCCGGATGACTCTTGTTTGTTGGCAACAACTTGGAAGTGGATTTGGGAGGATTTCTTCTCAGATTCCACTTTGACTGCAGCCTTGAGATTTTTCATCCCAATGCCAGGGGTGGGATTCTACAGGTTCACACCTATTCTCTAGAACTGGTTGTTAACATTCTAAGCAGTTCGGAGAACCAGTTGTTAGAAGAAATTACTGGCCTAATCCTGTAAGGAAGGCAGGAAGGAAACATTCTGTTGTTGCTTACAGAAATTGCCTCTCTGTTAACCCTTATTACATTCTTGGCAGGACTAGACTTCCTGTCTCAGGAACTTCTCTGGAGTTTTTTTTCCTCCTTTGCTAGTACTTTGCTTGTGTGGAGTGACCATTCAAAGTTACAATGGCACTGAAAAAAGTGACTTATGACTGTTTTTCACACTTACGGCTGTTGCAGCATCCCCACAGTCATGAGAGGCCAGGCGATGAGATGCATGCCTCAATGTGAGTGATGTTGAGTTGGCCACACCCAGCCAGTCACATGACCACCAACCCATGCCCATCAACTAAGCCATGCCCACACAACCAGTTGTTAAAAAATTTGAATCCCACCCCTGCCCAATGCCCACTGTTTAGTTTTTTCAAGATAACTCAGAGTCAGTTATGGGTTCCCACCTTCTGTAGTCATACACAGTATTGTGACACAATCTTTTTGCTTGAAGACTTTATTTGGGCTTGTGAAATATTTTGAGAAGACATATGCAGAAAGGAATGGGACATAGAAGGCAAAATGCATAGGCTATGTTCAACCAAACTCCCAGTTTCTCTCTCCCTACAACTTATTGTGTTTCAATCTGGCAAATACATCTCAAAGCTCTGAAGTAAAGAATAAATAAAGTAAATCCCACATCAAAGATAAGATAAGATAAATTTATTGTCATTGTGCTCAGGAACCTGAGAACAACGAAATAAGGTGCTCTTTCGCAACATACAACTAAACAACACCAAAAGATGTATGCAAATAACAATATAAAACAAATTAAAACAAATAACAATTTAAAAACTGTACAACCAGGATATATATATGTTAAGACCACCAGATTCATAACTCTGCATTTAACCTGATCACAGCACTTGGGTAAAAGCTATGTTGAAATCAAACATTTTTGTCTTCTGATATAGAAGTGGAAAGACTTGAATAATCCCTTTTAAGCAATGGCCTACTTGGGAGGTGAGGACATTCTACTCTGAGGGCAAGCAATAGGGGGACTGCTGCCAAAGATGACAAAGTGGCTGCAACAATCTTCCCATCAACGCAGCACAATAGCAATGAAGGGAAGAGAATGTGCTTTCAAGGCAGTTTGACTTCTGGTAACTGCCGTCTGAAGATTTCTTGGGAAGATTTTTTTCGGAAGTGGTTGGCGCATGTATTCTTTCTATTGCTGAGAGAGAATGATTGGTCCAAAATCATCTAGCTGATTTTGTGCCTATGCAGGACTAAAATTCACAGCCCTCCACCCCAATTTTTTGCCTGGTCCCTTAATCACTACCCTAAATTTGCTCTCCGTAACAGAGAACAGGGTGTTAAATAATTATTTCCTGCAGGCCCCAATATGTTAGGTGTGCAACTGATTGGAAGAAGGCTGCTGGCATGTTTGGTGCTCCTGTAATTTGCAGTGCAAAATTTAAAGTCGCCTCCAGCAGAGAAAATTTGCTCAAGGTCATAGAAGTGTCTTTGCTTCTAAAGTCATTAATCCTCCTAACGATGGTTCAAAGTGTTATCTCCAGATACGTTTTATACTGAAATAAAACTAGTTTCCACCAGTACAGCTTGCCTGACCGGGTACAACTGAACATCCATTGTTATGAAAGATTTAACTCAAATTATAGTACAGATGTCAGGAATTCTTGATTTAGTTATTTGATAAATGAATATCCTATCAAATGGATTGGGTAGTTTAGAGAAATAGTAAAATTAGCAGTTTATATTGACCTACTTGTAGTACTCATGTTTATTCTGCAAAGTTGGCAAACAAACACATTGTAACAAGTGTAGATAAAAGGACATGTTCTGAACCCTTTCCTAAACAGTAGTAAGGAGGCTAACCCTAATCAATTTTGTGTAGCATAGTCTGCTGATAATATAAAGCATCATCCCATTCTTAAAAATTATATTTGTAGCAATTTTTAAACATTGTTAACAACAAAAAGGAGAATATTTATAAAATAGATAGTTTGGAAAGTTATATACAAGTGTCTTAATAAAACAAGCTGGAATGTTAATTTTATTGATGCTGTTTTGATCTAAGCTTGCCTTGAGGACTGGTTTCATAGTATTTTCTTAGTTTGAAGTTTGTTCTTGTTAATATTCCAGTTTGATATCAACATTTCTAAATGCTTGGACATTTAGCCATCTAAAAACTGTTACTTATACAGGTGAACAGTTCTCTAATTAAATTATTCTGATTCATTCAATGAATTGAATAATTAGAGATCAAGGATTTTATATTTGCTTGGAATAAGATATAGATTTTGTTTCATTTTGCATTTATTGGTGATAGAACAACATCTATCCTTAGTGATTTTATATATAATGGTGTGTTTGGCCTATGACCATATAT